GAGTGGAGTGTCCAGAAAAGCGCTATATAAGTGTAAGCAATTATTATTATTATAAGACGAGGCAACGACAGGGTAGAGCCCACTGATCGGAGAGAAGACTGAGGAGGGGGCAGGAGTCGCTACGCACACTGCACCCCACAGCTAGCGGGGAGGGAACATACCGAAAATTCAAACAGCAGTAATAAGACAAGAAAGCCATCCAAACACTGCTTAGTATTTGCTATGGTATTCTACACCCTCAGTCATTTTAGGTCAAGCATCTCAGATCTGTTTCCCAGCTGTGACACAGAAAGCATCTTAAGCATTTTTGAGAGGGGGGGGAGGGGGAACTTCGAGTGGGCTCCAACAATCCAATCCCTTTAGATTTTGGAGGATTAAGCCACATTTGGGTTGATCCTCCGTGCCGAAGAAGCGATGACCCCTCGACACCTCTTGATTAACTCTCGTGGGCTGAGCGCACGATGTCACCTGGCACAGAGCGTCTGCCCTGCATTTTTCTGCCACGCGCTGGAAAGGCAGCACAGTCTCGAGCTGTCTGATGGCCGCGGTGGGCTCGATCCCGAAATCGCACCCCCAGAGAAGAGCACCTTCTCAATCAAATCTGAATGCCGCCTCCTCCTAAATTGGCAGCCAATTTTTTCCCCTGCTTCCACAGAAAATTGCGTTCAATCGCATGCGGCGCTGGGCAAGATTGTTATTTTGTTCCCTGTCATTACAGCTGACGCTCTTGAAGATCAAACTGCAAAATTGCTGGTTGATACCGACAATTAGGGTTAATAATGAAAACGAAGATGATCGTTTCGTTTGCTAAAGCGCTTTCCAAAGCCTCTCTCATTGCTTGAAAACATTTCGCCAGCAGTTGGGTGAAAAGCCTGCCCACTCATCAAGCGTTTCAATGCCTGTCTTCACAGCCAGAAATCAGCAGAGCTGCATACAGCGTTGATTATTATTCTGGTCAAGTCCGTTTCCAGCTCTCAACTGGCATTTTTGAGTTCGCTGTGTTTTTCCCCCAAGAACCCGAAAGACAGGCTGGGTGGCGCTCAGCTTTCTTAATGAGAAGTCCTGGAAAAGACACCCCCCCGCAGAGGGCAGACGTGATCTGGGTCAGCAGTTCCCTCTCGCTCCGCAGCAGAGGAAGACCCGAACGGGGCCTGGTTTCTGCGCCTGCTTTCCATGAGTGCATCCGGACAGAGCACCCCTGTCCACCACCAGCGTGCACTGGAGCACAGCCCAGCGCAACTCCCAAAGGAGCTGGCAGGCTGTCTAAAGAAATGCTTGTGGGGAAAACGGTCAGACAATCGCAAGCCCACTCACTTCTCCGCTGGTGTTTGAAACAGCCAATGGGGCAGAGGATCAGCCTGAGAAACACAGCACAATCCCAAAGACTGGGCTCTGTCGAAAGGGGGGATGTCATGCAACAGTGTGAGTCATCAGGCTACAAAATGACCCATTGTGCTTTGTGGATTATGAGCAGCAATGGGGGTGCAGGGGGTGGTATATACTATCTGGGTACAAGATCCAGATCTTATCCAACAGGCAGCACCTTTAATAGGTACTTTCTTTGAACGGATCAACAAAAGTTCTCTATTTCTTTATATTTTCTAAATTGATCAAAGAATCCCAAAATGCTTTAAACAAAAAACGCAGGAGGAAGGAATAGGAAACGGAATGCCTTCAACACCTGCGGCCTTCACGAACGCACGGCAATGCTTTCGTGAAAGGAGCTATTTGACGGGCTCCCAGCCTACGTGTTTTGCAGGCAGGCCGATCCTCTGCACTTGAATCCGACGAGTCTCATCCAAACCACTTCCTCTTGTTCCGAGGCTCAGCCGTTGGGCTTGCTCAGTGGCTGGGTACCGGCCGAAGGTCAACGTCAATCGAGCGGACTCCCTGCCCGGAATACCAAAAGAAGCCCACTAATGAAACGCGTTCCTCAGGCAAGTTAATTACGGACTGTGCCTGGGAGGCTCGGTTGGGGAAAAGGCCTGATATCCCCCCACCCCCTCCACCACTTCTCTCCAAGACCCTGGCTGGTTTGTTCAGAGCATCAGCAGCTGATGGGTGAGAGGCAGTTTCTGGCTTCAGGCCAGGCCATAGTGGGTACTGGGGCTTTTAATATGGTAGAGGCACCACTAACCTCCTAGCCTCTCTCTCCCAAGGGTAGTGATGAATGCGGTAGACCCCCACCACACTAACACACACTGCCCCTCTGGAAAGCAGGCTCCAACATGATGCAGATTCCTGATCCCTGTGTTATCCCCACGGAGAGTTGGGGAAACACGCCGCACGGCCGATCCCTTCACCCCCACCCCCGGCTGTCTCCGAGCTCATCCATTAAGGAGGCCGGGGAGGGGGGCCAAAACGTGGACTCATGGTGAGCAGAAGGAGAGCTCATCGCACGCGTTTCCAGACGGAAAGCTGAGTGCTTTATATGAGAGCTCACAGGGACACAAGGGTGTCGTCTGTTTTAAAATGTGAGAAGCATGGTCTTTGGGTCCATTTGTTATTTCAAAGAGGATCTCAGTCCCATGCTGTTTAATAACTTGCTGTAGTCAATATGCCCTAGATACGGGTCTCTCTTGTGCATTAGCTCCACACAATGATTAATTAATAACCAGTGCCGGAGCTCCTCCAGCTCAGTGAAGACAAAGACGGAGTCTTCTCTCGGTGCAACCCCGGGCTCCACAGGAGTCTGAAAGTCTAAAGAGCCCTGCTACTGGAAATCACCAAGCCAGTTACAAGCGCTCTAGCTGCTGCTGAACCCTCACACTGGGCCAACACATTTCCCAGCCAACGTGGCACAACAGCTGCAGCCCAAAACGAAATCATAAAAGCAACCCATGAAAACAGTGCAAGTCCCCCACTTGGCAATTCAAACAGCGCAGAGAGCAGGGGTCCTCACAAGAACATCACCATTCTACATTAATGCTATACGTTTTGGGCGAACAGATAAATAAGAGATTGATAAATGGAAATTTGGGAAGTGTGACTGAAAAGCAAAAAAAAAAAGGCAGTGAAATGAAAAGACCTAACAAAAAGTCACATTTTTGCATTGTAAAGAACTAATACCCTCAGCAGCCCTTACTGCCAACTGCTTCACAACAGCAGCCTCGGGGAAAAGTAACAAAACCTGATTTGTCACATGAAGCTCATAGGAATGAGGTCATTTCAAAGCAATCTCGTGTCTTCCCATCATTTGTAGGTCACTGTACAAGCTGAGATTTAAAGCTATCATTTGTTAATCGAAGCTACAGGAATAAAAACAATAGAAAAAGAGCATAGAAAGAGGAAGAATTAACACTGGCTTTGTTTAATGTACTGAAAGGAAAAGGTGATCAGCTATTATTATTATCAGATACTTTTTTAGATGTGCTGCATCTTCCGTTCTCAATGCTGTGCTTTTCAGTATTAAATCCAGAAATATTAACCATGTGCTTTTGGGGCCAATAGATCTAGTGTTAATTACTATCAGATGTGGCAGACAGGATAACTTATAAGCATCTGCCCATCCCCATAGTCATTAAAAATTAATGGAGACTTCAATTTGTGTGTAGTCATATTTACACAGTACCTTATACAAGACTTACAGTTAAAACAATATCATGCACTGTCTTGCACAGTGATGTCATACACTCTACATACTTCCCCGTTGCCCTGACACCATCACCATGGCAACAGCTGTAGAACAGCACATCTCCTTATCAACTTCTACCAATCCCTCTTGCCTTCAGACACTTTCTGGCTCGGGAACTGCACTTTACTCTTAAAGAAACGGATTGCGTTCCTGGGCCTTATTCGGGCCGCGATCAAAAGCCACACAACAACACTTGCACCCACGTGAAATCTGTGTGTGAGAGACCCCTACACACTAAGACAGAAAACAGACTTCAGTCTCACCTTAAAAGGGATGAGAGCTTTTATTAACCTGAGGAGTGTGGCCTGAGCCTGTATGGGAACTCCTTGCTTACTGGTAGTGAACAGGGAAGAAAAACATTTAGAAAAACAGAGGGATGGATGTTAACACATCAACAGGGGGTGTACTGTAATGTCTACATTGCGTGGTGTTGTCTGTTGTAATGTGTCGTCTGCTGTACTGCGCAAGTCCCAAGAGATAATAAGAATCCCAATGTACAAGTACATATGGCAATAAACTCCTCTACTTCTCTAAAGTCACAGTCTTGTACTGCCCCGTAGTGTGGTCACTACTGGTAGCAATATGCTCTGTACAAGTGGAGGTCTAGCAATCAGCCCTCCGGATCTTGCAATCGGTCTGTTGGACTCAATGATTTGCGTATTGTTCTGCATGACGGTCACAGACGCCAACCTGGGCGGTCTACCTAAACCCTTGATCCATCCCTGAAGAGGTCAGACCCACCCTCTCAATCATGTTCTCATCAAAAAAGACATCCCAGTGCAAGAGAATCCTCTGTAACGTACATAACCCTGCAGAGCGCAGGTTTTCAGCTCGTTCATTCTCCAGTGTCCGCAGTGGTAGAATGAGCCACCTACAGAAATCTGGACCGCGCATCTGTTCAGACAGCATGTCCTCAGTCACTCCGACACCGTACTGCACTAAAAGCAGAGTGGCAGTGCTGTTCCCTTGTTTGTCTCCCTCAATGGAAACATGGCATGCGTGCCAGGTGGCAGTCTGCACTGCTGCTTTGCTCCTGCGCAACCTGTATGTGCGCGCAGATGTCCTGGCACTCAGATCTTCGGTCTGTTTCTACGAGGTGTAAGAGGACCAGGGGAAGGGTCATTCATAACAGGTATTTTCTGAATGACCTACTTCAAATACTAGATATGGACCTAAGCAAAATGGCTGCCAAGAAGAATCAGCTGACCCGTATATGGAAAGGGTCTACCCTGAGAAACAATGAGACACAGCTGAGCCTCATCAGGAACAGAAATATAAGTGCCCCGGAGGCAGTGAACAGGGCGGAAGGTGGATGCGGTTTGGAGGAAGAGAGAGGAAAGAGGATTGTGTTAAAGATCGGACTGAAGAATCATGGACTACTGAAAGGAGAAATGGTTTACGGTTTTCGGATTGCGGATAGTGGATAAGGATACATCGTGGATTGGCGTTATTACGGACTTTTGGAACTCGGATCGGATCAGGATTAAGAGAGCGAATTACGGACTGGATTTGGAAGATAACTGGACGGAAGAAACGCCACAAAACACAGGAAAGAAAAGCGTCGCGTGAGTACTTCTCTCATTTACAGAAACACCACAGTGGCTCTTGAGTTACACTTTTCTGTTCCAGCGTGCCCATTAAAAAGAGCCAGCCAGGGAGTGCCTGCCACCTGGCGCCTGGCAGAGTGCACATGGCTTTCCTCAGCACTGCCCTGGTGTGCCAGCCCCCCAGGCGCAGCTGGGGCTACAGCCCTGTCTAGACCCAGGTAAGATCTGATGCCACCACCGCGATCCATCAGGGGCATGGCCCCCCCTGAGCGCCCGTGTCCTGAAACGGTTTTAGATACGAGGAAACAGACCTCAGGCCTGTGCATCAGAAAGCTACGGGCACCACATTTTCCTTTCAGTCGACAATCGTACAACACTCTAAACTCTGCTTAAACAGAAAATCCCTTCCAATGTTCAAGGGCAACATCAGGTTCCCCTCCCCCCCACACACACCACACACAAACCCCCTGTGCTCAAACTCTTCCTAAAATAAGCTCCCCCATTTTCTCTCGTGTTTACGGGTAAGCTGCCTGCCAAACCAAAAAGGTCAGCGTGTTTTTTTTTTTTACCAGGGGGTTCTGAAAGACGGGCAAGTGGGTCTTGGGTCGCCAGCACCTACCTGGGGATCCTAGCAGAACCTGGACCACATCGTCGTAGAGGATGAGAGTCGCCGGTCTCTGGGGAAGGAGGTAGAGACTAACAGAGGCGTACACTGCAACAGAGCACAGGACAAGATTGTCAGCTTCCACGCAATTCGTCAGTCAGAGTGCGACACGGATCACTCTGGGGGCAACAGCACCGGCCGTGGGGTGTCAGGCTGATCCACACTGATGGCGATTCCAAAACTGAAACAAAAGCAGTGCAGCAGCCAAACAAAAGCTCGAGATGAAAAGTTCTTCTTGTCCTTCTTGTTCTGAGGAAATGCTCCCACCCTCTTGAAACTCAAGTTTTGAAAATCAGCTGATTGTCACGACCTTCAAAGTTATAAGAAGGAGATGAACCCAAACTACCCCTCCATGAGCTAACGTCACTTGTGAAATAAAATACTGTGTCTGAAGTTTTTTTTAAGGCGAGTTAACAAAAATAGCGGAGGCATTTGTGGGGTTTTGACAGCTGTTTTGACAGCTGCGGCATTTCTTCAACGCTTATGCATTGCTGTTGGTATCAAACAACTTTGCGACGGAGCCTTCTAAAACATCTGGGCATCTTGGGTCGTGATATCTTTTTCTACAGCAGTAAAATGCAAATTCAGCAGAAGAGACATCAATAGTTCTGCTCCATATATAAAAGACACCACAGCAAAACCCAGGACATTACCCAGAAACCACATTTTTAAATGGGAAGTGATTTTAATAAAGTCAAGGAAAGTAATCCGATTGAACAATGTTTTTTAAAGCCGATTCTTCAAGATAAAATTCTGCAGGTTATTCCTAAGGGCCCCACACACCTGCTGCTGTTTGTCATTCCAGCCCACCTGCATTAGATCACCGGTGCCTTACCTGAGCTAAGAAGTTGCTTCAGTTGAATATTTGCATTTTGTTTCCAGTCACATATTTGGGGATTTTATTTCACTTACAAACTATTACAGATAAACACATATACCAGTATATAACAGTTAAAGCACATGATTAAACAAGTTGAAGAGCTGAGAACAAACAATTACTAATTTCATGAAGGGTTTGATGCTCGGCTGGAACAAAACCCAGCAGGTATGTGGGTCACCAGGACCAGGACTGGAAACTACTGGTGGAAATGGTATTTTTCCTGTCGTATCATCTTGATACACATTTCCTTAAAGGAAGAACTACAACATGTTGTCTACAACTCCATGTAAGCAGACAGGACTTTAGAGAGAGTGGAGAAAGGAACTAGTGAATGAGACCCAAGACTAAACTCAGATAAGGCTGACTCAAGAATAACATTTCAGAGATGAAGGGAAAAAAACAAGGATTTAACTTTTTTTTATTTTACTTAAATATAGGATTGAAGTGAGTAAGACGATAACTCATAGACAGTCTCAGCCTCACAGCTGTGCAAACGTCCTATTACATGAGCTCTGTCACGTCCAGGGAGATGATCTTTCTGTTAAAAGCCTCACCTCGCTGTGTGACTTTACAGTGAAATACAATCTTCAGGGTTCTGGGTTCATATCAATCAGATCTGTTTTGTGCCTCTTGGAAAAAACACTGAACATTAATTTGATGATAAAATACTCAGCTAAGGCCAAGACCAGCAAAGACCTGTGAATGAACTGCCAAGCACAAATGACAAAATCAAAACCCTGCATCCACATGACACTTGGGTTATTCCTAAGAAATCAGTGTCCTGTCGGCTTCACTCTTTTTGATTTTAATGAAAATTTCCAGAATGTCTGAAGCTATGAGAAATCATATTGTGATTTCTGGACCTGGATGGTCATCCATTTAGGAAACAGAGTTACTCAAAGATGACTCAATCTTGACCCTTCATTGTACTGTAACACAATCATATCCTCACCACTGATCAACATATCAGCGTGATTTTAATACCGTTTCAAACAGTGTAATATACTTTTAAATTGGTGTTGGAAAATAGCTACAGAAATTAGGTCATTCTGACCTTTGACCTCTATCTCAAAATTCATGCTCATTTTTCAGTATGTCACAGATAGGCCACTGTTTGCATCTCCTGAATTGTTGGCCAGCTGTTGTTAAAATCAAAAGGTGTGAGGTCAAAAACAGCCACATATTGACTGATTTCATATGGAATTGCCCTTTATGCTAAGAAGAATCTTATTCCCAATGAAAGAGCAAAAGTACGTCTAGGATTTATAATTTGCTGCTGGCAAATGGGTCCATGCTTTGACTTCACTTGAGCCTAAATAAGAAAAATGGATAATTGTACACATAAGATTGCTGATTTTATGATGAAATTGGTTGCACCTGACATTTCCAGCTCTTTATCTAGTCATAGACGTGTTTCTTGGAAATACTAAGCTGCAGTGTATGATCTCAAGTCTTTCTAACATGACTCCTTCAGCCAACAGTTCAATGACGGAAAGACCAGCCCCCTTTAGAGTCCTGCTCAATGGGCTGGGCTAGCATCCAGTGGACAAGCAGTGAAGACAAAAGACCGGGCTGAAGTTTACAAACCGCTGCATGTGAAAGTGGGTTTGAAAATGGTGGCAACCATCTCATCTGAAGAGCCTTTAAGGTGAAGCTATCCAGAAGAGAAAACACTCCCAGATGGTACTGCACAGGCCTGTCCAATCCAGGTCGTAAGAGGCTGTGAAATGGGTCCAATTAATCAGTAACCAGCTGGTTTTGCTTCTGAAGTGCGAAAACGGAATGACAAATTGCAGGCACACTGGGCCTCAAGGACCAGAGCTGGACAGCCCTGCACGAGAACAACCGTAGCCCTCACCAGCAGGACAGAGGAGGAGCGTGACTGAGGGTCAATGGCATAGAAAAGCCCAATGAGAACCAGAAAGGCGACACGCTGGTATTAGCAAGGCCTCTGTACATACAAATGGAAAGGCTCTGAGAAGCAATAAAAAATGACAAGTGTGTCAAATCAATTCCAGTGACGACCAGAGGAACAACCGCTGCATTTAGAAGATCATCCCTTCCAGTGCAGCTCAGTAATTCACGGCCAGTCACATGGGGATGATCCAGTCAGCCATTATAATCCGTTTACGAGATCCTTGCATCCTGAACTCTAGACTAGTGAAGGAACAGGAACATTTTGGGGTGGCAGGGGTGTGGGGTGAACCCAAACTATTGTCCTGTGTTATAAAAACGGATCACAATCTGTTAGGGAGTGATTTTTGCGAACGATACACAACACAGAGCAAATGTACTTCTTTTCCCTCAAAAATTCTGATTTGAAACACAAGATAACTAGGCACTAGTTACCAATGACTCATTTAATCAGCAAATTCAGCAACTAAAGCCAACAGTTTCTGCAGATACTAGGAATCGGCACCCAATCAATACTTTTCTCAGCATAGAATAACAAAGACACCATTTATTCCATTTCAACAGGTACAACTGTTGCAATTCAACAAAGAAGCAATTTCTTCTCCCACAGACAGAAATTTGAACACTTTGACATAGGATAAGAAAAACAAGCAGCTTAGCCGAACTGATCTAGGCTTCGTTTTGTGGAGACATTCTTCACTGGGTGAACTCCCTTTCATTTTCAAAGCAGTGTCTGAAGTTCAGCATGGACATCGTTAAAATCACAGCCATGTGTCTCAGGTCTGTCTCCTCATGCTTCGCAGAGCAAGAGTGCAATGCTGGAAACTCTGGTGCTTGCAGACCTAAGTAGCTTCCAGCTGTTCTTATAGACAGATCCATGTTCTTCGCCACCACTGAATTTGCCATATCTGCCTGGAATCAAAGAGCTTCAGAACACGAATCAAAATAAACTGCAACTGCAAAGGGGTTTGAAATAGTTTGTCCTGTGAAATAACAGGGACGCTGTCAAACAGGTGGGCTCTCAGCCGGCTCTGTAGTCGCTGATGCCACGTCGCCTGGGAGAAAGCTGGGGCCAATGCAACATCCGGCCTTTGAGTCAACCAACAGCAGCATCAACAGGCAGTCCAAGGGGGTTCGATCACCAGCGGCCGAGCAGGCATGTCCTTTTGCGTGGACAAGGATGGTTTTTGACATACATGACGTGGCATGTCTGCAGCTAAACCACCCTGCAACTCACAACTGGCAGCCCCATTGAAGCTCAGCAGGTGTGAGCCTGGCCAGTACCTGGAGGGGAGACTCCTGGGAAAAATTTGCTGCTGGAAGTGATGTTAGTGGGACCAGCAGGGGGCGCTCACCCTTTGGCTTGTGTGGGTCCTAAAGCCCCAGCATAGCGATGGGGACACTGTACTGTAAAAAAGGTGCCGTCCTTCAGATAAGACGTAAAACCGTGGTCCTGACTCATTAAAAATCCTAGAATTTTTCTCAAATCCTGGCCAAACATTTCGCCACTGGCTTTTACTGGCTTCCTAATAATCCGCATCTATGAACTGGTTTCTGTTGCCCTCCACACTGAGAGCTGGTGTGTGGGGAGCGTACTGGTGCATCATCCGCGTAGAGTCACACACTGGTGGTGGTGGAGGGGATCCCCATTACCTGCAAAGCGCTTTGAGTGGAGTGGAGTGTCCAGAAAAGCGCTATATAAGTGTGAGGATTAATTATTCCAGAACAGCCACTAACTTATTTAGTATTTATGTCAAAAGGGCTGTAGAACAGATTGGTATTATACCTCAGGAGAAGTCAAAGGTCACAGATAAGGGACTCGGCAACCAGAGCACATAAGCACATGTTGTAAACCATGACCCTATCTGTACTCATCACAGAGTCAGAAGTTTTCATGTGAACCAAAATAAATATGCAAAATAAATATACTGTCACCAATCAATTTTATTCCATGGTGAACTAGAATTGCCATGGACTACTATTACAGCAACACCTGGTTAATCACAGATGTCAAAACATAAAAAATGCCTTTTCTCAGAAAATGTTTTTGGCACATTTCAAATGTCATTTTTGAGCAATGGCCACATTTCCTCATGGAGCACTTGATCTTCAAGGATTTTCAGAGATTATCTGTACACCCAGTTTGCTCCATACAGCAAAGTGCAGTCAGGGAAAACACTGAAATGATTGGTCTTTCAACAAATCTGACACGACAGCCAAATCATGGGAGCCCACATAACACTGTGCACCACCTTTCAGAACTGGACCTTCAGCGGTTTCGAAGAGGAACGTTTTTGGACACTGTGAGAAACGCAGATCACTGCACGTGGGAACCACACCATGCAGCTGGTCAGCTTTATTTCCACCCTGAAGGTGCATGGGAGCTCTGAGACTGCATGAAGATCTGTCACGCTTGACCATCAGGGTATAATGCTTTGTACTGCAATACGCATGCCTAAAACCCTGTCAGCCCTGCTTTTGGAAAAAGCATCTTGCTGTTATCAAATACAGCCAACAATACGACACCTTCTTTCCACACACTTCATTTCACTCTATTTGACATTACAGTCTCCTTACAGCACTCATAAGGACACAAGAATGGTCACATTCTTTTTCTGAGAGGAGGCCTTGCAACTCATCTAGCTTTGCTTTGTCAGCAGTGAATTGATCAGAGGATCTCATCCAGCTGTTTCCTGAAAGGAATTCAAGTACATGGCTGGCCAGCTTGCTCAGACCCCCACAGGGGAACAAGTGCCTGCTGTTCACAGTTTTACACGCATTTCCCTATTGTTTAACATCGTATCCACTAGGCTGAGTTACTGTTCTTTGTGGCTGCAGTACATTTCATCCCATCTTCACTGTGATTGGTTATCTGAATTAATTTGAAGGCAATTAACCTGCCATCTCTCACACTTACTGTGAAACCCTAAATTTGTTTCATTTTAGTTTTTTGTTGATTTTGATAGATGGGGGAGATGATGGTACTCCACAAACTTTATTCTAAACCAAAGTGTCATAATAATTTATACTAATGTTTCCTTAGACTTCCATAGCGCTTTTCTGGACACTCCACTCAGAGCGCTTTACAGGTAATGGGGATCCCCTCCACCACCACCACCAGTGTGCAGCCCCACCTGGATGATGCGCCAGTACACTCCCCACACCAGCTCTCAGTGGGGAGGAGAACAGAGGTAAAGGCCATTGGGAAATCTGGCCAGGACTCTGGGATAACAGCCATATTCTTTCTGAGAAATGCCCTGGGGATTTTCATGACCACAGAGAGTCAGGACCTCGGTTTTACGTCTCATCTGAAGGACGGCGCCTTTTTACAGTCTAGTGTTCCCGTCACTATACTGGGGCATTAGGACCCACACAGATCGCAGGGAGAGTGAGACCTTAGCTTTCCCACCTGCTGAGCTTCAGTGTGTTGCTAGTTGCGAGTTGCAGGGTAATACAGCAGCAAATTTGGGTGCAAATATGTTTCACAAGCAAAGACTGGTTTCAGTAAAGTGACCAAAGAGAAGACTGCAAGTAGCAAAAACAGGCTGAACAACAGACAGAAAATTGAAAAAGAACATCTTTCTACTCACAGGGTATTCTGCTGGCGTGCCAGGGCGCCGAGTTGGTGACGAAGCCTTGCCTGGAGGCGGTAACAATAACCCACGTCCCCGGCCGGTACTGGAACCTGACCGCGACGGCCCCATCGTCGCCCGCCACTCCAGACGCCAAGGTCGACTGGTTCCCATAAACCTCCACAGCCGCGCGGGCCAAGGGTGAAAGGTCGCTGTTGTCAAACACTTGAACTCTGATGAAGACCTCTGTGGAGCAGAAGAGGAAGATAAGAGGAAAATGAAGGCCTGTCATCCATTTAATTAGTTTTACAGGTGAAATAACACAGCGTCAAATAACACAGGGGTCAGCGGTCCAATAATTCAGAACTGCTTTTTTTTTTTACAATTGCACATCAAACTAATTTACTGCTTCTTCGAAATTGAAATTGAAAAGATGCTCTGGTTTAGAGGTGTCAAATGAATTTTCGCTGTCAGGCTTATCAAAATGTGATAAGATGTATGTCTAAAAGTTCACAGATGTCAACAAAAGACAAGACGGCACTCATGACTGCTCGACTGCAATGATCACACAGCAGTCCAGCGCCATGAGGTTTTTGTTTTCTGAAAGTCATCTATGAATTGTAAATAATTCATTTCTCCATCTTATCCCATAAGTCAAACAAACCTGAGATTTCTTGCATCTCCAACCTCTATATAAAAACACATCCATCACAGAAGTTACACAGGTCCTGCAAATGTAATTAATGGCAGCATAGGCTCAGCTCCTCCTCTCAAACATCTTGCTTCACACCTGGCTCATTCAAACGGAGACATTTCTGGCACAGATGATGCACGTTTCAGCTCTCTCTTTATCTCAGCCTGTCCGCCTCCGATGACTCATAACTCCACGACAGACTGAGTGTTTTTAGGGAGATTAAAATGTGTTTAGCGCTGTTCAGTATGACAGAGCCCCATGAAGATCAAGAGGGAAACAAGCCAGTTGCTTCTATTGATTTGGAGGGTCTAGCCAAAGGAAAGGCCTGCAAGGTATTGACCTGATTTGGCCATTCTGGCTGTGTGCTGGTTACCGTGGCGACGACCTTGCTCACCAGGACAGAAGCCTGTTGGGAGAGGATCTACAGCTTCCACTGAACCCTGTGATCAGAGCTTTTCAGCTGAACAAGATTTTGCCCGTAGTTGGTAAAAAGCCTTACAAAAAGGCTGAGACATGTCTCGGTTTCCCACACTGTTGGGACATGTAATGCTTTTAGACTACAATCACTACTTTACCATTAATGGACCCACTGATTTCTGCTATCAGCCTCTCATGCTATGCTGTTTATTGAAGTCTGTTGGTGCTGATTTAAATAGGCCATCACAAGTCTCCATGGATATAGGAAGTGTTTCCAGCTAAAAAGGAAAAAAATGAGATGCAAAAAGTGCCTGTTCTTGGCATTTTAACTTGTATGTAATGCTGTTTGGACCATAAACAAATTAAAGGATAACTTTTAAGACAGTTGATTTTAGGACAACACAGGCTCTTTTACTACTTAGTTATTGTACATTATTCTGGTCAAGATGGTTACAAGACATCCCACAGCCAAACCAAACATCACTACTGGAATTTTGAATTATGCACAAAATCGTGAACTTTGTTAAAGTACTGCAAACTGCCATGTTTTTGCATACTGGCATTGAAGTTCCCATGTATTGCAACATGATGCAGCCCTTCCTGCTCACTAGTCACGGTAATGACTAATGTGACGTAATGTACGAGCGAATAAATACAGGTTGTGCAGCAGATACTTCACCTCAGAAATGTTCCAATGTGATCTGCATACAGAGTTAATGAGTAAGTAGCCTTTGTTGGTAAAACTGTCTCTAAATCAAAAAGTAATATTTCTATTGGATTAACAAGCCTGCTCGTTTACAATGTAATAGGGCCGCAACACGTCACTGGATGTTTCGTTGGCTTGTTCTGAAACTCAGAATATGGTGCTGTGCATACCTGGAAATGTCATCTCATCTGTGATGTAAATTGGAAGTTTTACAAGTTACTGTGTACGTTACTTTTATTGTGGTTTGAAATGCACTCATCAGCGCAGATTCCTTTTAACCCCAAAATAAAAACAACATTGCAGTTCCCCTTTAAAGAATGCAGCTCTTCCCTGTCGACAGCACCACAATGCACCACACCAGAGAAAAAGAGATTTCACACTTCCAGCCTTACAGTGGTCTGCTAACAACCTTCCTGCCTTAACACTGCTCCATATCCACTTAAGAAAATTATTCTAAGACAACAGGGGGGAAAAGGGCATGAAGCCCTCACACACACCTCCAACTGACTAAATCAGGCTGGGTCCTACTGATGTGGGCTAACTGTGCTTTACTCCGATATCCAGTTGTGTCTGTGCCACAGCTGGGCCATAGGGAATAGAGTACACCAGAGAGCAGGGATCTCTTGCCACTAAATACCCAGCACTGGGCCGTTTGATAACAGAGCCCTGAAGCACATCACTACCGCAGCAACACCATGCCCGAGGAGAGCCTGACCGCAGTGTGAAAAGAAGGACATATCTTCCAAGGATGCTGGACCAGTCAGTGAGGATTATTAGACTTAATCTGTCCCCAGGAAAGATCACAGCTGGGCCACCTCTGTGTCCATGAAAGGGAGGAACAGAGCAGTTCCTCGACGTGGGCGATTTTAGAGGAGGAACCCAGCTCCAGCCCGGCCAGCGCAGGCCCCTGTCCGAATCACGTCCTCTTGACCCGGAGCTCCGAACAACCAACGAAATCCTGAAATCCATCGCCATTCCCGGACGTCTTCCGAGTCGTGCGAGAATAAACACGAGCCTAATCGGTTAAATCCCACTGGTTTTCAACAGACCAGGGAATCAAAGGGAGATCAGCTTGGTAGTTCCGTACCACCTACTGCCAAATCAGAAAATTAAAAGACATCTGATTAACAGCTTCAAGGATCCTACTGGAATGAATGGATGGGGTAGTCTAGGACCACACTGGGTCCTAATGCCCGAGACGCTGACCAGACCTGAGATTCTCTCTCTGTACCTCATACAGACTAGGCCTGTATGAAGCATGACATGGAAAACACAATGGCTTAATTAGAAGGCGGGGAGAGTTCCTTTCTACCTTTGATGTCTGTTTCAGATATCTTGGAATTGACAGCTTTCTTCTCAAAGATGGGCCACTGACCTAGAATAGACCTCCATAATGCAACGTGCATATTTTTTTTTTGCAAAAGCCTAATCCTGGATCATTTTTCTCAGAGGAATGAAAAGCTGCTGGAAAAAGGTGTGAAGTCATTAATTGCATTACAGTGACTCATTCGCAGTGTAAACTAATGAACTAGTTCAGGGAACTATCTACATTATTCCAGGCAGCCAATGAGATGGAACGGTGACCACTGAGTAGAACAAGCACGAATGAGGAAACAGCTGATGCCAGAATCTGAAGCAAGCAGTGTGGGCATCTTTTAAAGAAGTGTTTGCCTAGACACACACTGTTAGATTGGAGTCACCTAGTCAGAAAGCACTATACTACACCTTATTCTTGATCCAAATAAATTGCAGATGTTGAATCCTCACTCCTATTAAAAGTAGCATGTACTTTCTGTGCTAGAAAACAGCTATCAGCAAGAATATTTTCCACTGCATGGGGAATTCCACACCAAAGACCAAAGCACAGCTGCCTCAGCCTAGCCTGTGCCTGATAGCACATTGATCACAAAAAGAGGCACAATACAGTACAGCCATAACCCACTGGAATAACTGGGAAACTTCCCACAAAAGGTAAAACTTTCATCACCTGGAAAGTCAGCCTTGTAGACGATCACTTCAACACAGTGGTGAGGGTTCCTTCACTAACGGGTGCAGCAGATTATGGGATAACGATTTAGTTTAGATCGTTCATAACTGTCTAGAAATAATTATTAAAATGTTATTAGCCATGTTTTAAAACATTACTACATACCCCTCACCTTAAGTTTAGGCTTAAGTGTCACCCTATTAATGTGTACATTTCTAAAACACCCAATAAGTGGCATCTGCAATGCCTGAAGTACTTTACTTCTCACAACTGGGTGCCTGACTTGCGCTACTGATCTTCATTTTGAAACAGCGCTTCATGTATACTAGTGTTATGTTAACATACAGTAAGTTTTAACCGTAGGTTCATTTCAGGAGCAATTGTCCAACACGGTGCCCGACACACCCCCCTGCCTGACATTCCTTCAATTAAGCAACACCCTGTCAACTGTGGATGCATGAGAATAGGCCAGACACCACAGACAGCCCACATAGCGCACGCCTTCTGCACACGCAGGGGGTTCTTAACAGCCAGAAAGAGCCGCCCTCCCAGAGTGCCTCTGCTAATCCACTGACCACTGGTATTCACAGTTGACACAGCAGCACAGCTCCGGGAGGGGAACTTCAAAAATTCCGTCGAGGTCTCTTTCTTTTCTATGCTCTTCCTAGTGAAACATCCCTGGGTTTAAAAAGCCGTTGGCACGGGTGTGGTACCGGAGGCTTTAATTGCCAGAAGGAGCTCTCTCTCTCCATGAGCACTGGGTGAGCAGAGCTCGCAGCACCTTCTGAACAGATGCAGAGCAGTCTGAGCTGCTTCAGGGCTTAACGGCTGCAGTTGGCCTGACAAAGCAGAAAATTATCGCCATTTTCCCCCCACATTTGAGCTGAATAGCTGAGTACGCAAATCTTCTAAAAACAACTGGATGAAATACCCAGCAAACTGGTGTCGACATACTGTATATAAAAGAGCCCGAGGCTAGTAAAAACTGAAATAACTCCGACTGCTGTGAAGTGTTAGTCTCAATAGCACTCCCCGCATTAACAGAAAGAATTTCGCAATGGCCGATGAAACAGAAACCCAACAGCCAAGCAGAGGACATGAGGGGCTTTTCGGACTCGTGGCAGGGCGGTTTTAAAACTTTTAAAAATGTTGGATTCCCCCCCTCCTGTCCGATTGCTCAGGTGTCCCCCCCCCAGTCTGTCCGCAATCCGTTTCAGAGATCAGAGCCGGCGGAAACGGATTCTGGTGGATAATCCTCGGGGAGATAAATCACCTCCTTCCCTGGCACGGATTCGCGGAGCCACAGCAGGAATTTCCTCCTTGTCCTGATAAACACGCCGCCTTCCTCCAGATCCCAGAGCTCACTCTGCTAGTTCACCACGGAGAGCTGGTCATGGTTTTTTGCCCACATGTGGTCATTTTGACCTCACTTCTGCTGTGGT